TATAAATTAAACTAAATTACGATATCCCACTAACTTGTACCTACAAATACTGCATTTGTGATTTTTTTCTAACATGTGTTGTGTAAATCATTAAAATGTACGATGGTCGTATATGAAAACTATAAAAAAGTTCGAACTCAATTTTCGTTGTAAATGTTTGTCGTAAATATGGCGACTATTCATATTTTCTCAGTGTTTTTGATATACAATATTTCCGAAAAATGTTTTTAAACAAAGAGGAAAGTGGGTGTTCATTTTATTTTTATTAAACATATTTTTAAGTGTTGCAGAAAATATTGAATAACGTGACCCTAAATTTTCTTTGTGAATCAAATTGTCACTGCACTTTAACCTTATTTTTTTATTCGTAGAGTAAGTAAATAATACTTATTTTCTTTGCAAGTAACATATTGTTACATAAATTAGATAGCATCTACTCTTAATTGATATTTCAAAGAATACATCATTAGATTCAAAACTTCTTTCCTCGATGGGATTGGTGATAAATAGGAAAAATTCTGCGTTTTGATTATCTACCAAATTCTTCTATTTAATAAATAAGCAACGTAAATGCAACACATAAGATTATTAGTAGACACTAACAGACTAAATGCATATTTCACATTTTCTTCCAAAAATACACAAAATACTGGCTTTCGCCCACGACTCCGAGCAGCCTACATCCAGACAATCCTCTTTATTCATACCAAATTTCATTAAAATCCGTTCAGCCGTTTAGGCTACAAACTCTAACAAACATCCATCTAAACTTTCGAATTTATAATATTAGTATGATCTAAATTTTCCACAGCAAATATTTACATCAGTATGTACACAAATCACGTTACACAACGTGTTACATTTCGTTTTCCGCTCAAGATATGATGCAATTGTCACACAAATCCAATTTATGCCACATGTACGAGTACCGGGACCGATTTAGTAACATTTCACACTGATTTTACAGCTGCATAACTTACGAGCTCACTAATCTACTTTGAGAAACTAAGCTCTATTAAATAACGATGAATCCAATTTCAAACCGAACTTCAAATTAATACGTACGTTATTGTTTTTCAGAACCTCTGACATAAATTACTACAGTTTCCTAATATTTCACATTGCATTTGACAACAGACAAAATAATTCCAGAAATTACCTTTATAAAGCAACTGTAATATTACTTTTAGTTGTAAATATAATTAATAAACAAACTCTACTTTTATTTTAATTCTAAAGTTTATATTCAATCACATAATATTATATACAGGTTAGTTAATTGACAAAATTTATTAAAAGGCTATTTACTATGAAAAATTGAAATATTCTGTGCTATTAACACGTTTGTACATTGCAATTGAAATAGTATGGTATTGACAGCTGCCAAATCATACCAAGGGCTCTTAAACGACTTATTTATTTATTGAACGCAAGTGACTTTTACGTTTAATTTGAAGGTTTCGAAAAATTTTTATTCAAGTGAATATTTCGGTTAAATACAGTCTGAACGAAATTACGAGAGCAATTTCACAAAATTAGTTTGGCTACTTTAGTTTCTGAAAAGTTATAGTTTATGTCAAATTTAATGAAAAACAAATAAAAAGGTCTTATTGATGTATATGAGGTTACTATTATTAGAATAATACGAATAAGTTAGGTATGGTTTTCCTGCAAATTGAATTTATTACAAGGTGTTGGCGAGACGAGAATAAACTCAACACAGCATGATGCTCGGATGTAAAGTGAATAAAGTACTGAGAATATTTAAAACATAAAAGTGACTTTAAATTTTTTTATTAAGCTGTATAAAAGTCTAATCTTCTTTATACTAGTGGACATTGTTTTCATGTAAGACTTGTGCAACTTTCTATCAAATAATCCGTTATACAAAAATACATTTAAATTGCAAAGCAGGGGTATGTGGAGCGCGCTTTCGAGTTAAACTCGTAATTTATTTTGCTTTGTGATTTTTCATTGCTTGTCTCGGCCGTACCATTTGTAGAGCCACAATTCATCTGACGGCGACGTTACTTTTCATCCGAGTTCACGCGATGGTGTCGCACTTCCATTTCCCCACTTATGCCAGTTTTACACGAGGGCAGAATAGTGAGGCAGAACAGCAGGCAGTGCAGTACTATCGTTGTTTGAGCGTACACTTGTTGTAAAAAGAGCACAGATTTGTCACAGCGGAGTTCTGCTCCATTTCTAAATCTAGTTCAACGTTAGTGTGAAATTAGCGCTACGTCGTAAATAGTAGGGGTGTGGGCTAGCTGGGGGACAAAGCCAAGCACCCCTCAGTACGCTTATCTACACCATTATTCGTTCATTCGACCTCCGCCCGCATCACATCCATGCGATGAGCCACAAACAGGTTAAACCTAAAATTTGTCAATCCGTAATGTGGATTTTATCAGCGTATATTTTGTATAAACACTTCACTCCTGCTTAATATGGCCCTGAAATATCGTCGACGATAGTTTAATTTAAATACAAAAGAGACACTGTGAATTCAAATGACTTTTTTATTCGAAACAAACTAGTACATTTGGACAGGGCATGAAATCAATCAATAATTCCGACCAATCTATTTACGACTTAAAATTCTTTACACAAAGGATAAAGTATTATTTTTTCATCAATTCCTATCCATGCGTTTGTTTTGAAAGCATGAAAAGTATTAATCGTTTTCCTTTAGTTAACCAGGAACAAAAGACTCGTATGATCTCCATTATTTGTGATAATTTATTTCTTTAACAAGGATTGTTTAGAACTTCGTCAAGTAGATTTTCTGGAAACTGAGGTACAGGAGTATTAAATGTAGGCGGCCATTTTGATTGAATTATTCTCTTCCCTTCTCAATTTCCTGAGAAACGAAAATCTTAATGGATGTTTAATTAAAGTGACACGGTTTGAGATGTTAAAGGAATTCTTGCGCGAATCTCTCACAACTATCAGATAGATGAGGTTAAAGTATATTTTAAGTTGACACAATTTTTATAAGATAAAATAAGTGCAACAACTTCTTAACGACTTTGTCATTTATAACGTTAGTCTAGTTGGAACGCCGCTTCATCACTTTCCCATCGTAGACTAAACAAACAAGAACGTCGAAATGCAACAACTCTCAGGCGTGTATAGGTTATCGACTTAGAAATTGAACTTCGAAAAGCTATAAACTTATAGTAACATCTGTACTCAATTGTTATAAATAACTCATTCATGAAATAATTTAAGCTATTCAAACGATTTCATAATAGTATATTTTGGAACAACAATAATCTGTTTGAGTTGTTAACAGTAGACTAAATATTCATTAACGAACTTTGAAAGTTTCGAATTCAAAAAGCAATTAGCACGGTAGAGCAAAATTACAAATAATAACTACGGTAGAAACATTTACAAATCCGAACTGTACTTACTTTGACGTAAAAAAGTATAACATACAACGTCGTTACAATTTTTGGCATTTACTTTAATTTAACGAAATCGAAGTAACATAATCATACGAGTATTACGTTAACGCCAATAGCATAATGATTTCGGGTATGGACTACCGACCTTGCGGTCAAGGGTTCGAATCCCGCCATTGGCCTATTGTCGTGAACCATATCCTATAGCACAAGCCTAGGGCTTAGTTGTAAAGAAAATATTAGCAAAATAACAAAAATCTACTATTAAAAAACTATCATAGATATACATTTTATTCTTCTTCTAATCAATAATTTTTTTATTCGATATATGGAAAAATGCTTCATTATTTTTAGTTTGCTGGCCTTTAATACTTGTTTTCTTCCAATAAGAGTTTGATTTGAATTAATTTTAAGATAAATGCTTTTAATTTAGTTTTTAACGCAGGAAAACTTAATGCTTAGTCTCAACACTTTCAAAGTATTATTACCGTTAGTCGTAGCATACTGAAAATTGATTCATACAAAACAGAATATCGCAAAATTAATAAATGTAATTTTCTTCGACGATCTCAAAGACATCTCTAAAACCTGTCCATTCAGCGATAGGATTTTTTTTCAAAAGAAAATCGCTAAGAACTTTGTGCATAAATAAAAAGACATGAAAATTGCTCAGTAGATTAAAGTGACACTTTATCAAAGGGAACCGAAGCGGAAAAGATTGAAATGGACCAATAGAAATTGTGTTATTTTGATTAGATAGATATTTTATTTACTTCCTTCAGACTGGAATTGTGTCACTTTTTATTTTAAGAGTCAACGAATATGTCTAATAGTGTTTCGTTCATTGTTAAATTGAGTGTCAACTTTCATTTATTTTTATACGCTTCTACTAAATAATGAACTGCGGAGGAGCGCACCTTCTACACTTACTTACACTTCTTAGAACATTTAATTTACACGACCAAATTTAGATCATTATCAGATCTTGTATGTGAAAGTTTATTATCATATACATTTATACGATCAAGGTAAAATTCGAAGAAAAAATAACACGATAACTAAAAGTAAATCAATAAAATGTCATAATTGAATAAAATTAAAGCGTTAACTTACTGATCAGCGAATTAAAATAATCCTCTAAAATCTCACACGTTTTCTTTTTGTGTATATTTAAAAATGAACTTCACTAACAAAATACTTATAAAAAAAACCACGAATTCGGAACTATTTAATTGGGAGTGTTGACTACAAAACGTTGTTTTGACGACAAATTGGCAAACTCAATGTATTGTCCGACGCACATATAAAAATCCACAACAAAAGCGTCACTCGACGAACTACAAACATAACTGTTTGAGATACACAAACATGTTTCGCAGTATTCCAGAGTAGTATATACTAGCCACGAGGCGTTCGTATATTTATTGTTAAGTACATTGTTCTCTATACCATGAAATACGCGTTGTTTATAAGTTACAGAGTTAAGAATCAACATCTGAACGAGATGAGCATGATTGACGTAAAAGGATGTTTATTTAATTCCTAATAAAGCTTCAGGGATCCCTTTTAAGACAGCATTACTTTGTGAGCGGTTGTGGCATTAAGACTTAAGAAAAGTGTTAAAAAATGGCAAATAAAATATTTATTGTACTAATTATTTCTAGTGTTCTAAAACTTTATCTGGTACGTACATAACATTATTCAATTTAGTATAAATGCAATAAATCAAATCTGAAGTATTAGAAGCCATTTAATTGTTAGTTTATTTTTTATAACAAAAAAAATTATGGTCACTTTGTAACATTTTTTAAATTATTTTTTTGTTATCTGTTTACAGATTAATGCAGAAACGTACAGCAGAAAGGCTTTAGAGGCTATGATTTTACAAACACTATGGGACCGCGTCTATTCGAAACAAGAAGAATCAGTTAAACAAGAAGCTATTAAGAAATTGAAAGAAACTGGTCACTATGACAGCCTCATTGATCATCTTACGACCACTGACAAGAATAAAGTCCATAAGATATTAGAATTAACAGCTGAAATTATGATTGCCTATATGGAATAAGGTAATTTTAAAAACTATACTAATATAAAGAGAAAAACTTTGTATATTTGTATGAAATTAAATAACTCAAACTTTTGGGGGGATTTCAAAAATTCTTTCACCATTAATAAGCTACGTTGTCAGAGAGTGACAAACGCTATATATTTAATTATATTTTAAATTTCACGCGGGTGAAGTCGAGGCCAACAGCTAGTTAAAAATGAAATTAATGAGCGTCATTCTATATTAAAAAAGTAGCATTATATGTATTTAGTCAGTTATTCAAATATTTTTTTTCTTCATCAAACAAGTTAAGTTTCTTCTATTACTACATATATAGGACGGTATGTGTTATTACATAATTACCTATTTCGAAATATTTGCTAAAAGTGGTCACAATTAAATAAAAATGAGCTTTTATCATTTTAATGACATTTCCTTTGAAAGCTTAATGACCAACATGAAAATTTCACTTTTAAGCTTTATCAATTTTTATACTCACAATATACTTTACAATCACATTTACGTATAAAATAATTTAATGTATTTTGTTACAGATTATAATATATTCCCGAATTAGTCTAAAACCTTTACAAGAATTTGTTGAAAAAAAATGGGATCTTGATTTTATATTCCTTTTAATCTCAGTAAACATTTAATGATTATAATTAACTAAATATATGTTTTAAATTATTAAAATAAAACAGTTTTTTTTATTACAAGTTGTATGGTGACCCTTTTTATTTTTCACAACTGGCACAAGAGTCCCATCATATACGCAAATTTAATTACGTTTCTTTTATAAGAATAGTTGTGTCTCCTTATGCATAAATTAAGTTCTATGTGATATTATTGCTAGAAAAAAAACAATAAATAAAAAAATCTAGTAAATTTTAGTAATTGTAAGTATTTTTAAAACACGGCACGTACGCTTTCTTGGTTAACATTTTATATAATTAGTAACCATACCGATATAAAATATTTTATAGAATTATCTTTAGTTATATCGTAAAATAAAAATCCAGCGTTGGAACTTCATACGTTATATTCAGCATGAAATATGTTCCTTCCTCTAACCCGAAATCTCTCCGGTACATTATTTTATCTAGACCCAACTCGAAGTCCGTAGCCATAAAGATATTTCTACGGAAACGTTCATTCGTATAACGTTCTCTAATACCAGTTGATATTATCGACGAATTATTAAATCAATAGTTCATTTTCTTTTATCTTGAAAACTGTAGAACTACGAAAATTTCTTTAATATTATTATCTTAATTACTTTAAAATAAGAAAAACCTAAGCTACTAAACAATGTCAACTAATATTTTACTCTTATGAAATAACAGCAGTGCTGCGCAAACCCTTTGAGTGATACGATCACGCGTGGAATCCCTTTGCCGTCATAACAGCGAGGCAAGCTATACTTAACCCCATATTAACATTTTAACAAAAGAGCTATCTGGCATGGTTCCGATAGAGTAAATGCACCTAATGTTTTCACTAGTCCTTCAAAATCCCAGCCATATTATGTTGCATAATTATCTTTTAGCGTCATTAATCAAAAACGTATTCTTTAACTGTCTGTTGGGTATTATAGGGCATTCTTCTTGGAGTTAAAGTTCTTTTTTAGTGTAAATTTACTAATATTTTCTTTAACCACTGCAACTAAGCTCTAGGCTTGATCTAGGATATGGTTCAAGACGATAGTCGTATGGCGGGATTCAAACCCTCGACCGCAATATCGGTAGTCCGTACCCCAAACCATTACGCTATTGGCGCTTGCAAGTTAATCGTCCTTTATTAAAATTCGAAACAGCTTTACATTGGCAAAGATTAATTAAACTCTGATAAGAATTCTCCTATCAATAGTGTTGTAATTACGCGTATGTTAAATGGAGTTCGAATACTGTGTACTTGATTGAATACTATTTACTTGGCTTAAGCGAACACCTGGTCCAATGAATGAATGAATAGGACATTTCGCGTATGTATCCGATAAACATTTTTTGTTCTCGTTGACATATTGAAGGTATATTTATTGCGCCATTGTCATCGACCTGGATGAATACAGCAGGTTTAAATGTATCGCACTCGAGGCAACAGTTTGATAAATGCCCGAAATTAAATTCGCTATCGGGCACCAAGCTCCGTAAAAATTTACGATTTAAAATTTAAATAAAGGTAAAAATATAAAATATACAACTTTACAAAGGTAACATAAGGTATTTCACTTAGATTTATACACTGTTAGATATAAAAATTGTTTATTGAACAAAAGGTTTTTAATCAAAGGTAAATAAAGATGATTTTTTATTTAAAAGACTATGTGGTACCGTTTATACATTTGTTAAAATTTTGCCTATTTTTTTGTACAAATTTTTTGTGTCGCTGTCTCAGGAATTTAAGCGCTTGACTTGTAAATAAGTAGCCTATGTGTTCTTCCAGACTACGCTCTAAACCTGTGCCAAATTTCATAGAGATCCGTTCAGCCGTTTAGGCTACAAACACTAACAAACATCCATCCATTCATCGTAACTTTCGCATTTATAATTTTTAATGTATATTGTATGATAATATGTTTATGACAGTTAATAGAATAGTTAGTTAGATTTAAAGTTTTTTTAGCATTTCAGGTTTTTTAGCATTTCAGTCTAGACGGTGTGTGACGATGAATGAGGTCATTAGTTCAGTGTTCGTGTTAAAATGAATCCCTTAAAAGTATTCTCTTTATGATAATAAACCTGCCCTTTTTATATTTCAGTCACAAGCTGTGTATGAGCCGATAACGTATGTAATTTCTATATTTATGTTGGATTAGAATACGTGCGATGTATATTATTCTATTTATTTCTGCGACCGTATTATATCATTTGTTTGTTAAGTTCGTAGAAAAAAATATAGAAATCATTTTGTGAATTAAAGTCATAGAGAATATCAAGGAGTTTATAACATAGGAATATTTAAAACAATTTGCTTATAAAAATTTCGATCACCTTCTCTTATAAGGATCAAGCATATTTTAAATGTTAACTTTTAAATCTGCCGTACAATATTTATTTTTCACAATTCAATATTCAAATATTTTATTCCTTTCAATAATACACAATTTCGCCAGGGTTTCGTATCCCGGAAAGCAATAATGTATTTATAAATAGCTGACCAACCCTTATTATTATTAACTTGCCAACCAATCTACCTAAGATTACAAATTCGGCAATTGTAAAGAATCAAGATATGCCAATATTGTTCATTGTAACTGTAACTCTAACCTGTTGTGCTACAAAAGAGAATATTAAATACAGCCAATGTATTTAACCACATTCACGACTGGACTGGACCAAAAAGTCTATTTCAAAGTGTAGTAAGTTTGGTGTCGACGAGTGTACGCGATTGAGATCATAGTCACAGTCATACCAATCAGGCAAGTTATAGCGTAGCGTTGAGCGAACATTGAGGCATAGCATAAATTGTGTTTGCACAAGCGTGAAGCGCTTTGCAGTACGCCAGAGTGCTGCCTTCTAGCGGCAGTACATCAAACAGCAGCCTCGCTCTTCCATAAGCTTGCTTTACTCCCAGACTTGTTTAATTTATGGTGGAAAATATAATTTAATAAGAATATTCAACACTTTTGGTTAATTAATATTGTGCTTTACTCGCTTTAAGTTACTCTATTTGAACTTTAACGAAGGTAATAAATACAATTCAGTTTGAACTTGATGCGTTCGTAATCAATTGTTCAGATTGAAGAGTTGTAAGTGTTATAAAATGTTTATTTCTATATTACGCATTCTATTATTAAAATCATAAAAGCAAGAACAATATTAACAAAATATACTTTTATTTAACTGGGTTTTTGCTAGTTAGCTCCAACTGTACTTAATTAAGCTACTTCTCTGTATGTTTTTAAAATTTAAACGTTGGTCAAATAATAACTCTTCGCGGAAGAGAAATTGGTTGCACAAGTTACTGGCAACATTTTTACGTTTTACAGAAATTGTACAATTTACCAGTGAATTTTCCTTTTGAACGTAAATGAGCTCTTTACAAAGGTGAAAGTAAACTAGTGTTAGTTCATAGATCAAGTGGAATTAGTTACGACTAGGGATAACAGAAACGAACTGCTAAATTCTTGCGCTCGTTATAATGAGAAATTATATGATCTAGTTATGCTTGTTATACGAAGTAGGTTTACAAAATTTGGGGATTGGTGTAGTATATGTGGTACATATCCTTTGCCATCAAATCGCATTGATTTCGTACTTTGCCTGAATTGTATCGAATGTAATGTATCGTCACATGTTAATTACATATTTTTGTTAACCACGAAATAGACAATGTTTTTATGTTATCACGTGGTGATATAGTCGATTATATTTAGGGATTTTCGAAGATTATATTTAGTCATATTTAGACGATGCCAACTGTGAAGACGTATGATATAACCTAACTTCAAACAATATATAAACGGTCTATTATTCACATATGTAAACAACCTGAATATATCGCCATAGACTAAACCACCCTCAGGGGTACCGTCATTTGTGTTATATGGGATCAACCAAAGCAGATCACTTGGAAAACGTAGCTTGAAATGTCAGAGTATATGAATTTTCATATGTTTGTATTAGGCTAAGATCCAAAGCGTTTTTTCTACCCTCATCAGATTTCTTGATAAAACCTACTACATGACATGAAAGAAGACTTTTTTTAAACATTTTTTTAAAGTTTGGCAACCCCACAGTAGTCATGTTTACGTTACGGACTATCGATTGGTGACAAAATTTTACGGAAACTCGATGAGGGGTTTTTCCACCAAAAATTGACCACTTCAGAGATCAATTAAACATATTCTTGGCAAGCTAGGATTAGGCAACCCGGTTACAACATGTTTAAAAAAAATGTCCTCTTTAATGTCATGTAGGTTTCATCAGGAAAGCTGATGAGGGAAGGTCATCATTAATGTTGTATCCCGAACTATATAGAAACTTGTAAGAGAATAAACCTACAAATGTTTTTAA